ACGTTCAGAAAGAAACAGCAAAAGGGAGAGGAAAAAGGTAAATTGGAATATTGGTTAGACAATAAATAAAGAGTTGGTTATTCCCATTCCCATGAAAAAAATAATCATTTCAAATATACATGCCTACCTGTAAATATTAAATTCAAAGAATTAAAGGGCAAATGGGGACAGGCTATCTTACACTTCTATGGTAAAATAGAAACCGCAAGGCTATAAAGAAAACAAGACATTACTTGGCTTTGTTAAGAAAAGGTTAATCATTGAACTTTGTACTTTCCTTTTACTGTGATTATTGAAAAATATTGTACACTGAGAAATACTGTGCACTCATGGTTTGATTTATGGTCTGATGCTTTACTGCTATTGTAAGCTTTCTAATTATAAATAAAGATTGTAGAAGGCTGCTTTCAGAAGAGAAGTAGAGACAGAAGTAGGAAAAGAAAGAAGATATTCGGGCTGACCTCCCCCAAGCGGGTCAGTCAACAGCCTCTACTAGAACTGCAATTGTGGTTTCTGGTATAGTCATTTCTACCACCGCAGTTACCTTCACCCCTTCAGGCCCTGGACTCAGCTGGAGCTGGACTCCAGCACTGGATGAGAGCAACAACAGACCCAGCAAGGAGTGAAAGCAAACCTCTGGTTTAATGTAGAGGACCACTGGAGTGCTTCTTTTAGCTTTACCCCCACACTCACACCCTCACCCTACCTGAGGACAGACAGTGCTGAGTAAGAACACGACTATGAACAGTACAGTAGTACAGCCCACACCCTCTTCAGAAACAGCAACAAGATATGGCTGGTTTGAGAAGCATAAGATTGCCGAGAACCAGGATGGCAGAGCCAAGAGAAGGCAGGCCATCTTACCTATACCTATGTCTGCCCCTAGTTCAAAGCCCCAGAAATCTAGGAAAAATCAGATACGAGGACAGAGAGTTATACATATAAATCTGCATTGCAATAATTTATAATAGAAATTGAAGGTAATTTTCATTTCCAACAATAGTAAATAGTTGAATTATATATAGCAGATTATTACAGAATTGTCAAAATGCTATTTTGAAGAATTCATGACAAAACTATGCAAAATATATAAATTGTAATATTTTAAAGACCTATATTTTTTTAAATGGAGTCTTTTGGGCATATTGACATTTGCTATATTTCAGGCAATGTGCCAATAATTTTCTTTATTATCTCATGTTATGACTTCTGTTAGCATCTAAAAGCATCTTCCATTTTCTATTTGTAACAGTGGTTTCTGATTCCTTGAACAGATCTCACAGAATCATAGATGAACCTCCCTCCCAGAAGCCATGAGTATGAAATTGGTGACAGAGGCTTGGTGAGTGGAAGCAGGGGAAGCCCTATGGCTGCCCACTGGGTCTTCATTAGATTTGGTTCCAAGTCATGCAGTGATGGGGCAACTAACTCTTAGAGAAAGCACCAGGAAAGTATTTTCACTCAGGTCTTGAAAACCATTAGAGCACATCAGTTCTGCCACGGCAGCACCTTCTGAAAGTGTATCATCCTGGGTGGAGGGGAGAGGTGTAACCTTCCCCCCACCATACAGCCTCAGCAGCTTTGCCATTTGGGGACCCCATGGGCAGCTGAGCAGGTGATAGTGGTGGCTACAGGGCAGAAATACTCGCTGTGGCTCTGAAGTTAGTGCCAGAGATACATGCCTGGAGAGCTCCTGAGGGCTGCAAAAGGGGAGCAGCCTCTCATAAGCTACCTTCTGAGAGCTGCAGGTGATTGCTGAGACTGAAATGCTGAATAAGCACGCAATAGCAAAAACCACAAGATCTGCATTGTCAATCATCTAGACCCAGGACTGATGGACAGGAAGCAACTGTGGAAGTGTGCACCCAAGGATCATATATTCCTATGCTATATATGTATTTATAGTGTATATCTCTACATTGTTGGAACTGAATGCTTATAATTTTCTTCTCTATTTTTTGTGGAGATTATGATTACCTCATACTAAAACAAATCACCATTTCAGAAAAAAAGAACATATAATTTTTTTCTTATTCAACATATTTTTCTTTTTCTATATATTCAATATATACATTCAATCTTCATTCTAAATTACTCCTAACCTTGACCCCTCTCAAAGGAAATTCTGATTGTTTGTGTTTCTATGCCATTCAAGTCTACATATTTAGGGTATATAGATAAATCAATTTATACTATCTCTGAATAATAATTACCAAATTTTATCAAATTATTTATTCAAAGAGAGAAATGCAGACTTCTCATTAAAATTTGGTGGATTTTGTCTCAGAATATATCTCCCTACCTAAAGAGAATTATTTGTGGCACTAAAATCCACTGAGCAGCCCACAAAGTAAATAGTATAACTAATGTCCTAGATCATAAAAAATAACCATCATAGGTGCTTTGGAGAAAATCAAATTATAGACCTGATGGCCCACCGTTTCTCTACACACTTGCTTGTGGTTTCTGTGGTCTGGCATGGGGGATGGAGCTCTGAAAACAGCCAAAATGATACAAGGAGACAGTTTTCTGGGAGTTCATTGCAAAATTTGCAAGAGCATAATCTCTGATTTGGGTTAGTTCTTCCACTCACTGGTCTGTGTGATGGTGGGTGAGATTCTTAACCTCTCTGATTCTCATCCATAAAAAGAGAATTTGAAAATGTTTTTTTCTGAAAACCAAAGCATACCAAATACTGAGACTGAGTATAGTACCTAGCACACTGAATGGACTCAATTAACAAGTTGCAAAGGAAACAACCCAATGTATAATGATGATGACATAGGACCACTTGCATCATTTGAAATCATCAGTTGCTCCAGCCATGGTCCTCCCTGACCCCCACAATAAACGGGTAATCGTCACAGCGTCTCTTCTACATATTTACTTGCTCACTCATTAAATAATCAGTGAGAGTCTTTACCAGTCCCATGAGGTTTTCGGTTACAGATTCCACTGCACCAGGGAAACCTAACAGAAGTTGCGAGGCTCCCTCACATACACTCTCCTCTTTTATGATTTAGAATTGCGGGATCCAAAACACCTTGGTGACTTGCCACTTCCCAGCTGCTCAAGTCTCACGTCTGAAAGTGTCTTTCCTTTCTAGCTTCCTTTTGCCTGCGCTAGGCAGACCGCTTTGCTTTCCTTCTGCAAGTCAGCTAGTTTCTGGATGCAGGTCCCCAGAATGGCCAGTAGAGGGAGGACGAGTACAAGGGCTGAGTTCCGAGAGTCTGCCAGCCGCTGATCCCGGAAACAGCCCCTTTGCAGGATGATACGCAAGAGTATCCCATCACTCGAATTCAGAACGTCTAGAAATGAGACTCAGGACTGGAAATCAGGGTGTTAGAATTATTTCGTGACGTTCCAAATATAACAGCTGCCGTTTCTACAACAGGGGACTGTGCCACCTAAAGGCAGACTCGGCCCCCTCGTACATGTGATCTTTTGTAGTTGCTACCTACCTCTCCTGCCCTCTTCTGTCCCCCTACCCCAATCTCTACCCCCCGGCCCGACTTTATTTTTAAATATATCCTCTAGTCGTTTCTAAAGTTTAGTTTTCAATTTTTAAATGTACCTTTTTTT